ATGGGCGACCGGTAGAACAGAAGCCTCCGCATGAAGATGATCTATAGGCGACGTGTTCGTAGTCGATGCTGTCGGGTTACAGACACGCACGCGGTGACCTGATCAGTATAAGCCGCACTTTACGCGGATTAGGCTGCGCTCTGGCATTTGGCAACTCGGTCAGGTTTGTCACCTCCAACCAACTTGCACTTTAACTTGCGCTCGGGTTTCCAAAGTACATGCTGTATACTTTCCGTGTAGGGAAAATCATTCATTTCATTACGCCATTAAGGTATTATATAGGGTTTATCAACTGTCAGTCAATCGATTCATTGATCTGGCGCTGACATACACAGCCCTGCGAAGTCACTTCCGGACTGACGTCACCGGTGGCTGACTGGCTCCTACACCCTATAACTCATGCTAGTTTTTTTGTCGCAGCTTTTATCTCTGACGATAGTCTCCAGTAAGATTTCGTAAGCTCGGACGAATAAAGCCATAATCTCGGTGATCGACGAGCCTTCATTTGCTTTACATGTTGTGTAATTCATAAGCAGCAGTAATAAACGGACAGATCTCTGCTGTATGAGTAGATGTTTCACGGTCATTAAACCGAAAGATAAGTTTCTTTGGGTACACAATCCGCAGAAAACATTATTTACTACTTAATGAGTACTACTTTGAACACATTTTCCGTAAGATGCACCCGAATATACAAGGGCATCGAAAATAAATGGGAAAATTCAGATTACTTTTGGTAGTCAATTTTTTACCGAGTTAGGTCTTCGCAGGTGGCCGAACAGAATTTCCCACATTATGCATTGCAACCACACTGCCGTAATCCTCTTTAAGCGAAAACACAGTTCCGCAAACTTAATGAGGGAGAGAGGTCAGCTACTATATTTCAAGGATGGCATTCGTTTTGACCTATCAGTCGAGTTTCGCTTTAAAAAGGAGAAAATTGTTCCATGTAGTCCGCACATTTCGGGCACTTTAAGGAGGGGCGGGGCGCATTTTGGCGGTGTTTTTACAGCTAGTCTGCTCTTAAGGTCGATTAAAGAGCATCATCGTCACCAGTCCCCTCTCTCGCCTAATCGCGGACACGGCAGGTCAGGTCGCCGCGGTCATGGCATAGAGTGCATACCGCTAGGTTGATACGCTGCTTATGTGTGATCGTGCGACAGTCAATTATTGACAACATAACAGAAGAGGACGACTTTTAGGTTCGCAGGTTACGTTCCTCGTAATTCACGCGCACACTAGTACTACACGTGATAAAAATAGTAGTATGCTAGCACCTCGCCTCCAGCTTG